GGGGGTGTTCTATTTATTTTGTACAAAGTTCTCTTTTTAGTTTTTGGTTGCAAATCAAAAAAATTCAAAAATATCCCCAAAGAATAATTTAAAAATCGAAAGCCGAGGGGGGAGGGGGTGGGGTGGTAGGGTCAGAAATAGATAGGACCAGATTATTTACAGCCGGGGCCAAAACAACGACCTCATCTATAATGACATACTGGTGTAGATTCTACACCAGGCCTGGGGGTATCATCTCTGGCGCAAAGGTTGAAGTGAATTCACCCGCTGTTGCTTACGGCAGTTACGTCGTTGTCAATAATTACATGTGTTGTCCTATAGAATTACTGCTGGAAACACCATCAGTTGATCCACGGGAGAGCGAGATGGTTGTTGCAGAGAGAATCTCCCTCATGGGGATAGTTAGGGGCAACGCCTTCTCACGAATTCTAACGAAAATTGGACAGAACCATTAAGTAAGAACGTCGGCAAGATCTCTGGATATGATTTTACTAGAATTGATGAAATGTATAACACCACAAGTATAAAGAAAAGATAAAAAAAGCATTATAAACGACCCACCACACCCCCTTTCCCAACAAATTGTCAGATCACGCAGCGGCAGATATGTACCTCTAAAAACAAAGAAAGACAGATATAAAAGAATGCTTTTACCTTCTAGCATAAGGCTATTGTCAGAATAAGTACCAGTGTGTATTGCTCTTTCGAGTATGTATCTATATATAACTCTAAAGGTCTTGTAATTAAATACCCGCTTGTGGTTGAATGATGCATCTGATGTGAAATGTACATTTTGTCAGCTTTACTTCTCTTTTCATTTTGAATTTTAATGAGAGTAATATAATATAATTAATTTTTGTTTTCATGTATACCTGCGTGTGTTTTTACGTCCTGTACAGCCAAGAAACATTTCCCTCTGAGATAATAAAGTATTATCTCATCTTGTCTTGTCTTGTCTTGTCTTGTATTTTCTTATATCTTATCTTATCTTATCTTATCTTATCTTATCTATCTTATCTTATCTTATCTATCTTATATTATCTCATCTTATCTTATCTCATTTTATCGTATCTTATCGTATCTGTCTTATCTTATCTTATCTTATCTTATCTTATCCTGTCTTGTCTTGTCTTATCTATCTAATCTTATCTTATCTTATCTTATTGTCGGCTCCACTGACGCACTCTAGTGGTGTGGTTAGGTTAAGTGGCTTTCACTAAACTGTCCCCATTGTTTTATGCACCCCGCATAATTTGGCCAAATTTGATCATTTTTTGCATAATTTCTTATTGTTCTCCTTTATCATTCTTTGTTAAAATTAACAGAATCGCATATTATCACATTTTTGGGCTCAGTTTGCAGAATTTCTGACTTTTTCTTGCCTAAAACGACGGGACAGACTAAACAGCACTCTAGTGGTGTGGTCAGGGTCAGTCGCTTTCATGAACCAGCACTACATGTGGTACATTGTCATGTATAGTGATGGATCCCTGCTCCAAGGACATCAATCTACTGACCGTCACAGGACACTGAATCACCGAGAGTCCGACAGATAGATGGATCATCATCATCATCATCATCATCATCGTCATCGTCATCGTCATCGTCATCATCTTCATCATCATCATCATCATCATCATCATCGTCATCGTCATCGTCATCATCATCATCATCAT